GGAGAGGAGAAGGGAGGGAAGGAGGAGGGAGGAGAGGGGAGGGGAGGAGAAGGGAGAGGAAGAGAGGGGAGGGGAGGAGAAGGGAGGAGAGGGGAGAGGAGGGGAGAGACATCACTACAGCTAAACCTGGAGCAAACGCCTCACTGGGCACAAAAGACCATTTTAGCTTTATTTTCATTCACTGGCACCGGCCGGCGTCCTCCAGTGCTGACTATAGGCTCGAACCCCCACTGACCGGAAACAGAGATGCTGAAGAATTAAGCGCATCACTCACCTCCTTGGGAGGCCAGAGCCTCATTCAGACGCCACATGGTGGGGGCAGAGCCGCCCAGGGACGTCGCAAGGGAGGACAGCTAACTCCACCCCAGGGCCCTTCCAGCGGTGTGGCAGATGCCCCTGTGCCCAGCCTCCACACCAGGGCACCAAGCCTGAGCCTCAGATGCCCCCACCATCATGCTCCGGGAGGCCCCGCCCCCTGCCAGCAGCTGCCACCACCTCCTGTTATCCCCAAGTCTGGTGCCACGCGAGCCCCTTGGCATATGTCACACAGAAGGCTTGGCAGGGGCACATGGGGGCCCGGCTGACACTTCAGCCCCGGGTCATTGTGCCTTCCCTGTGTCCTGTGGAGTCCTTGTGAAGACAGCTGTCACCTCCGTCCTTCTTGTCTTACAGCACAATCTTACGACGGTGGCGACAAACCACGGCTACAGCAGGTTCAGCAAACTGCTGCAGGTAACGACAAGGGCTGTGGCCCTGGGTGGCTCTCACCTCTGTTTGTCAGGCCTTCTGCCTGCTGGTTGGGGTGGGCAAGCCCTCATTTTCCAGAGGGAGAAGCCCCTCGTGGCCATTCTGTCATCAAGGTACTACAGGGTGTGGGAGATGCAGGCGGGACAGTGGCTGGGCTCAGTGTGGACAGATTTGTGACTGGGGAGCGGGAAAGAAAGTGGGGGTGCCCTGTGTGGACTAAGGTGCTTCACATCTGGAATTAGCCCTGTTGTAGACACGGGGAAGTGGAGGTGGAGACTGGGGGTCTATACCCGGGACAAAGTCAGATATGAAACTATCTTTCTGATTCAGAAACTGCTCCCGGGAACTGCGGAGGCCCTGCTTGTCCAGACAATTATAGTAGACACGGTTTGAGGCTCTCTGCTCCCCGCTAGCCTGGACAGCCCCCGAAGGCCCCCCAAGAACCCTCGTGTCCCCATAGCAGGGTGTAGAGATGACCACATTTAGTCCTGTGGTTCCCCAAATGACCTGAGTCTCCGACTCTGTAGAGAGGGCGTCAAAAATGGCGATTTCAAGATGTTTAAGCTGCAAATTCCCCGGGGTGCTACAGGCAAGAAAGCTTTGCCCGCCTACCCCCCAAGCTTCCTTGTCACCCCGCATCTGTGTACCTGCTGCCTGGCTGAGCACAGGCTTCTAGAGCAGGCTAGAAGTCCCAGTCTGGGGCTCATAAAGGGAGCTGTAGAGCCTACTTCAGAAGGTTAGTGGAAAAATTAAGAGGAAAAATGTCTACAGTGCGCCCTATTGGTGGAACACTCTCAGAAATGTTCCTCCCTGTTCCTTGTGCAGTTCTGCTTTTTTCAGTATTAATGACCTAGAAATCTCATAAGACAAGAGTATTCCAGTATTGTACAAGTTCTATTTTTTAAAATAAAATATAAGAGAGGGTCAGCCAAATAGTTCAGTGGATTAAAGTGCCTGCAAAGCAGGTGCAGGGGCCAGGGGTTTGATCCCAGGCCTGCCGTGCTGACCTCGCCCCTGGAGCACACTGAGATGGCAATTGAGACTGGGCATGGGGGCAAACGCCTGTAATCCCAGCTCTTGGGAGGCTGTAAACAGGCAGATCACTACAAGTCTGATCTACGCAGTGAGACCCTGTATACCCTGTAGACCCTTCCCTAAAAATGCAATAATAGTAATAGTAATAATAATAATAATAATAATAATGACAATGATAATAATATGAGAAAAATGCAAAGCAGTTCTTTCAGCGATTCCAATATTAGGGCAAAAGCAGGACTAGGAAAGACAGTCGTCACTAAAGCCTATGTTTATTTTCCTGTTAAGCAAAACTCCGAATTTGGCTTTCTGATTTACTTTGTAAGGAAATGTGGCTCTGAATGGTGGGCACCTAATGGGCCTCTAGATGGGGCTATGTCACCCTAAAGGTGGCATCAGGAGTCCCCACAGGCCAGGGGTGGGACCCAGGGGCCCTCAGCAAGGGGCTGGTCCCTGTGCTGCAGGACTCGGGCTTGCTGGACACCATCACCAACCCCATCCACACGCCCGTCACTCTCTTCTGGCCCACGGACCGCGCCCTGCAAGCCCTCCCCCAGGAGCAGCAGGACTTCCTGTTCAGCGAGGACAGCACCGGCTCGGACAAGCTGATGGCGCAGTTGAAGTTCCACGTGATCCGAGATGCCAAGGTACGTTTGGTCCCCTCAAGCCAACCATGGTCTAAAAAGATGAAATGAGAAGTTTCAGAAGGAAACAGCTCCTAAGCTTCTTTTTTACAATTTTTTTTTTTTTTTTGTACTGGGAATCGAACTCATGACCTCGAGCTTGCCAGGCAGTGCTGTGCCGCTGAGCTACATCCCCAGCCTCAGAAGCTTTAAGTTGTACAGCGCTCTGGGCACATAACGACACTTCCGGCCACCTGTTCCAGCCTGCCCGGGATGAGGGCCACCCCTGGGTCCAGGGTCTCTGCAGCGTATGTGCCAGCTGCCCGTGGGCACTGCTACAGTTCAGGTCCGGAATGTCCTAATGAGCCTCAGGAGTGCTCAGAGGTGGGACTCGGAAGGGGCAGGACCTCAGGGGCGGTGCCCACTGAACTGCCGCTAGGAGGCGGGCTTGGGCCCCAAGGCTGGCTCTTCTGTCCGGCTCCTCCCTTCTCTTCGCTTCTTGGCTGCAAGGCAGGAGCAGGTTTTCCCCTCGTTGTGACAACTACAGACTGAAATGTGAACCAGAACACACCTCTTCTCCTCCAGATTGTGGGCCTGGGTATTTTGTCCCAGGGAGAAGAAAGAGACCAACTGTCATTGTAGCAACTCTGGCTAACCATGGAGAGTTACGCCCGATAGCACCCTCGCCATGCTCTGGTTCCATTTCTTGGACCTTCCATTCTCGTTTTTGCTTTGTTGTTTTGTTTGTCGGGTTTTTTCAATTGTATGCTAAACCCCAGACTGCCTTTTCTCGTGGCCTGCAAAGAAGTCTTTCCTGCTTCCTGTTCCCACAGCGGAATGGCTGCTGACAGCAACCAATGTCTGTAGATGAACTCTCTCTCAATTCCAAAATTTCTCGCAAAAGACTGCCTAATCTTGATGCAATTAATCACTGACCCGGTGCACACACGCCCAGCGGACCTGCTGGGAGCATGGCAGTCTGTATTAGTCAAGCGTCCTGTCACTGAGACCTGATGTCCTAAACCCACAATTCAAAGGCAGAAATTTTTAATTTGGCTCACGGTGTCAGAGGATTCAGTCCGTGGGCAGCCAGTTCCAAGAAGGTCACTGGGGGGAAAGCGGTGCTGCAGAACGTAGTGGCTCATGGCATCCAGGAAGCAGAGCAGGAGACGGCAGCAGAGGGGCAGCAAGGGGCCAGACGTGGTGCCCAGGGTCCCGCCGACCACTTGCACACACTCCAGAGTGTAGCCCACAGTCCCCCGGTGGCTCCCGGGACAATCCAGGTGACACAGGGAAGCCTCGCCCTCATCACGGCGGCTCAGCTGTCTCTCGGCTGCTAGCTGAGTCTCCATACGCACACCTGCTGCTCCCTGCATGTCCCTGCGTCCTCGTGTGGCAGGGCCGTCCGCTTTCCTGCTCTTCTAAGGACCCACTCGTGTTGGGCCAAGAGCCTACCCTACTCCCGGATTACCCCATTTTACATCATTATAAGTGCAGCGAGCTTGCTTTCAAATAAGGCCACGTCCTGTTCCGGGGTGCGGGGATCCGCGCCTCCACACGGCTCCTTGAGGGCCCTAGCGGAGCCCTCGGCCGTTTCCCAGCCAACACGCCCAGCCTTTCACCGATTCTGAGAGGACACTGACCACAGAGCAGTTAGGTGGTTAAGAAAGCCTGTGACATTCTCCTGTGTATTGTCTCTGCTGTTGCATTAAAGCTGGGGTGATTGTAACTTGCAGGAGAAACCCCCACTGGAGTTGGGGCTGTGCCTCCCTCAGCACTCCCTCTCCCCGGCAGGTGCTGGCTGCGGACCTCCCCAGATCTGCCTCCTGGAAGACCATGCAAGGCTCAAAGCTGAGTGTGAAGTGTGGAGCTGGCAGCCACATTGTGAGTGTCGTCCCGGGAGGGGTAGAAACGTGGGGGCCACCGCCGTCCCCACCCACTCGCCCCTGCAGAGCAGTGCGGGGGGCCCCCTTCCTAGACAGGCAGATGCTTCCCCTCCCTGTCTTTGGACGCCAGGCCCTGGCCGGCCCACGCCCACCTAGCAAGTGGCCCAACCACTTTCCTGGTGGAGAGTAGGCCCTGGTGGCTTTTTTTCTAGTTCTTTCTGAGTCTTGGAGGTGTTGCACAAGACCTGTGGCCTAAAAAGAAGATAAATATGAGAGGGATGGCTCTCTCTCCCTCTCCCTCTCCCTCCTTCCCTCTCTTCCTCCCTCCTTCCCTCCCTCTCACAGGGTGAGCTCTTCCTAAACGGCCAAGTGTGCAGGATCGTGCAGCGGGAGCTCCTGTTTGACCTGGGTGTGGCCTACGGCATTGACTGTCTGCTGGTGGAACCCACCCTGGGCGGCCGCTGTGACACCTTCACTGTGTTTAAAGTCTGGGTGAGTCCTGAAATCACCAGGTTCATAAGAGAACCTGGAACCAAAGTGCAGCCCTGGCAGGCCTGGTGACCCCCTGAGGCTTATCTGCAGTGAGACCAGAACCCAAGGTGCCCACAGGCCAGATGATGGAGCTCTTCCAGTTCCGAATCCACCAGCATCTTCTTAGCCTTCCACAGGCCTTGAGTATCCTATCTGCTGCCTTCCCACCATCGTTAAGGAGACAGCCCTGGGAGGCAAGGAATACGCTGGCCCTTCTGGCCACTCACTGTCAAATCCATCCACACGATGCTGATTCATCCAACACACATTTTTTGAGCTTCTGCCAGATTACACCATATAAAATTGCCACATGTTACAGCTTAGGGCCTATAAAAATGGCAACTTTATATGAGGCATGATGGTGCATTCCTGCCATCCTAGCACTCAGGAGGCTGAGGCAGGAGGATCACCCCTGAGTTCAAGGCCAGCCGGGGCTACAAATTGAGACCCTGTCTCCAAAATAAGCATTATTGTCCCTACTTTATACATCATAAAGTGAAGGTCGAAGAGTACAAGCCGCTGATCTAAGGCACGTCGGCTAAGCCAGATGGAGCGCTGTCTGCCCCCGCCCTCCACTGTTGCTGCCATATGTGCCCGTCAGGACTAAGCCAGAAAGCTGGGGTCCGCACCAACCTTCAGAGCCCCTCAGGGCGAGGGCGAGGTGTGTTTTCGCTTGTATTCTTGATCGGTCAGAAGCTTGATCAAGATCAATTAAATTCCCAACCCACTCGTCCAACCAGCCTGGGACATTTCCTTGTGTTTTTCAATGTTCTTGATCTGAAAGTCTCTCTCTTTGCATACTAGGGAGACTGCGGGAGCTGCCTCAGTATCCCCAAGTGCCCAGGGTGGAGCAAGCGGAAGGTAGTTGTGGCGTGCAGGACGTTCTGGGCGGGGGCGTGTGGGGTGCGCTGTACAGTGACTCAGCAACCACCCAGATGGGGGCGAGGCAAGGTTCTCGGCCCCATTAGCCTGGCCAGCCCACAGCCCGTCTTCCAGGAACCCTCTTGAGAAGTTGGAAGCGAAACTGCAGAGACGTGAATAGTTGTAAAACGAACGGCTGCCTCTTGTCAGCTGCTGTCTGTGTCCCAGGCTCTGTGCTGGGCCCTTTCTTGCTGGTTATCCCTTCCCCTTACTGTCCCACCTGGAGGATGCTCTTTCTACCTCCACTTTGCTCATGAGAATGTGTGCGCAGCTGCATAGCTTGCCGGGAGCAAGGCTAGGATTAAAGCCCGGAAAGCCATGTGAACCAGTGGCAGAGCCAGAGCGTTCCGGAGTCCACCAGGATGGAGTCCAGCTTATCTTCGGCAAGTTATGTGATCTGTCAGGTTCACTTCCCTAAGAATCAAGCTAATAGCGACTCTGAATGTGGTTATCAGAAAAAAATAAATTTTAAAATCAGTTGTGATGGCACATGACTATAATCCCAGCACTTGGGAGGCTGAGACAGGAAAATCTTGTGAGTGCAAGGCCAGCCTGGGCTACACAGTGAGTTCAAAACCAGCCAAAATTATATAGTGAGACTTTGTTTCAAATAAACAAAGCCAAACAAAATTTGACCGGAGGTATCTTAAGTGCCTGCCACACAGTGCGTGCTCATTAGATGGTTTTTATCACTTATTCTAAAGTCAAGTTCCTTCTGCCCTCCTAGTAAAACCTCTAACAAAAGCAACTTTGCAAAACAAAATATAGCTCTCCCTCCTTGCTGAAGATTTAGGGCATTGCCACTCTTTCCACACTATCCACACAGAACCCCAAGGGTCACAAAGTCCTTCCTCTTGGGACCAGGGAGAAGTCTCGCCCTTGGCTCCAGCTCTGCGCTGCCCCCTCCCCTGCCCTGCTGTGTGGAAATTAATTTTCAACCTGAGTGGTACCAAGGTCTTCCACTAGAGGCCGAGCCAGAGCCCCAGCCCGGCCCCTGGTCTCTTTCCCGCAGGGTGTCACGGAGAAGTGTTTCTATCAGGCAACATCCGGTGGGCCTGTCCTGGAAGGCTGCCAGTACAACTGTGCCCTGGTGGCCCAGGTGCCCAACTGCTGCAACGGCTACTTCCTGCCGGATTGTCAGGGTGAGACTCCCTTACCTGTGCCTGGCACCTGCCTTTCCTGTGCTCTAGAGGACAGCAGTGCAGTGAGGTGGTGGAGGTTGACAGGCTCTGTTGTCACCTCCACCGCTGTCACTGCCACCGTTACCCTTGAGAGCTAAAAAAGCAGAAGCACATGCAGGGTTCTGGCCACAAACACGGTGCCCGCCCAAGGCTGGGTCACAGCAAGGGCAGGGAGCCCATACCCAGGCCACCCCTCGCCCTGTATCCCCACTGATGTCCCAGGTCACCTAAGCGATGTTGGAACCTGCAGCACAGTTCCAAGGCCTGCCCTGGCCCCGGCCAGTCACCACTGTCTCTCCCTTGCAGCCTGCCCGGGAGGATCAGACACCCCATGCAACAACCGGGGCGTCTGCCAGTCTTACTCGGCCAGGGAACAGTGTCTCTGTGACTTCGGCTTCAACGGGACGGCATGTGAGCTGTGCTGGCCGGGGCGATACGGGCCAGACTGTCAGCGTACGTGGCCACCCCTACTCCTGAGCTGGCCTCGCTGGCCCCTCTGCGCCACCCTCCTGGCTTCAGGCATCTTCCGCCTCTCTCTTTCTGCCTTCTCCCTGCCACCCGCCCATCCACTTTCCTCCCCCAGATGTGTCCCCTTTCATCTGCTGAGAGAGCGTCTTTCTCTGGGGTTGGTATTCAGCCCAGCCCCAGGGCGAGCCGCGGCTGCCCCGCGCCGCAGGCACGGCCGGAAACTGCGGTGGACGTTAGAGTTTAGAACTTCATCGCGGTAAAGGCGCATGCCATCGACCCCCTCCGAGCCCCCCTCCCCTCACCCCCGAGTGCAGCAGCTCTGCGGCCCTCTTGCCTGAGCGTCCTGAGCCACGCCATGTGGCTGCCTCTGCGTTCTGAATCGACCCAAATGCTTCCCTTTCGTGGTCATTTCCATTTTGGCGCAGAGCAGAAGTTACATGGTGCCAGACGGGGTGAATAAGACGAGGGAGGACACAGCGCCATCTTGTTATGTGGCAGCAGTTACCGTAAGCAGCTGAATAATGAGAGTGACAAATAAACATAGGGAATGTTTACGTAAAAGATTTATGACAGGGCCGGGGAGATAGCTCTGTGGTCTAAGCTCCTGCCTTGCAAGTGCAAGGACCCGGGTTTGAACCCCGGTACTGCATGCTGTGCTGGCCACCAAAAGCAGGCATAGTGGCGCACACCTGTAATCCTAGCACTGGGGAGGCCGAGACAGGAGGATCACTACAAGTCCAAGCTGGGGAGCAAGACCCTGTACAAAATAAATAAATAAAACCTTTTTTTAAAAAATCAAAAGATCTATTACAGTTAAAGACACATCACCAGGGCTGAGGAGATAGCTCAGTAGAATAAGCGCTTGCCTGGCAAGCAACAGGGTCCTGAGTTCAATCCCTGGTATTGCAAAAAGAAAAAAAAAATGACATATTGCTGTGAATCACTGCTTTTTTGGTTTTTGGTTTTGGGGTTTTTTTCTATTTTCAGGGAGGAGAGCAGAATTAGACAAGGTCTTGCTCTGTAGTTCTCAGTCATCATTCTGCCTCAGCCTCAATCTCACAGTGATCCTCCTGCCTCAGCCTCCCAAGGGCTAGAATTACAGGCGTGCAGCCCTGTGCATGGCTGTGAATCCCTCCTGAAGTATTCAAACACTGTCCCTTGCTCAGAGCACACTGCAGCCCTCCCTAACGGTGAAGGCTCTGCTCCAGACCCCCCGTGATAAGTGAAAATCAGCAAAGTAGCATTATATCAGCATTGTATTTATTTTAGTATTTATATATATTTTAAGGCTTTATAAACCCTTCCCACACTCTTATAAACCCTTCCCACACTCTTATAGACCTTTCCCACACTTTTAGAAACACTTCTAATGGTCCCAATCATTTTCTAAACTTGTAAACCTGCATGATTTTAATAACATACATATGTTGTACATACCATAAAATCCCACAATATAGCAAAAATCCATGATAAATAATTTAGATTAATATTTTTTGAAAACCGACGAAACAGTGAGTCCATGAAAGTTGAGCTGCGAAATAGCGAGAGGCTACTGTAATCCCATTGTTCTTGGTAATGTGTCTTTTACGGTAATAAGTTATTTTCAATTAAACATTTAATGCATTTTCCATCATTCCTTGTATACTTACAAATACAGCTGACCTCTAGCTCTTGCCTACAATGTGACAGGCCTCTGCGTGTCCCCACATGTGCCAAGCAAGCCCTTTGGGTTAGCTCCACTCCTGTCCAATGCAGATGGCGGCACCAGGCCCCAGAGGGACTCGGTGAGCGGCTCTGCTCAGCACCCAGGAACTGTTCTAAGGTCTGGAGATGAAATGCCAGCTCTCAGAGAGCTAAAAGCAAAGATCATTATAAAGGGGCAGGGAAAGCCTGGTGTGGGGACGCCCACCTATAATCCCAGCACTTGGGAGGCTGAGGCAGGAGGATCTCTGTGAGATGAGCTACATAGCGAGACCCTGTCTCACAAAACAAACAAGCAGAAGTAATGGAATCAAGGGCAGGAGGAGGCCCTGTCTTGGGTGCCATCTCCAGTGGAAATATTCAAGTAGAGACCTGATGGAAATTGTGGACTGAACAGGGGCAGGCCGGCCAACCTGGTCACAGTCCTGGACACACTGTGTGACTTGCCTTTTTGGTGTGGTCGCCACTAACCACATATGACCACTGTGCACCCAAAATGTGACCAAAGAACCAAATTTTTAAATTAAGTTTAGAGAGCCAAGTATAGGTAGTGTCCAGTGCGCTGGACCATGCAAGCCAGAGAGAGGCTGACTTGCCTGGAGAGGTGGTCATGTGGGAAGGCCCTGGGGCAGAAAGAAGCTGGGCAGGCAGGAGGCCAAGGAGGCCAAGCCGGGCGGGTGAGAAGAGGAAGAGGAGAGGGAAGTAAAACCTGAAGGTCGTTAGGGGTCGAGAAGGTGGTGGACGTCTGAGGGTGAGGGCAGCGATGGATGATTGTGCTCATCGGGGACAGCCTGGAGAGGGTCACATGCGCTGGGCCATGGAGGACACGTGTGGGAGACCCGGCCGCCCGGGGAGCCGGAGCAGCATCCGAGGCAAGAGGGTGACGTGGACCGGCATGGCCACGACAGAGGCCCGAGAAGCAGCCGGATCCGTGCCCACGATTTAAGTTGCATTCTTAAGTCTCCATCTCCATCGGAAGGCCCAGTCCTGTCCGTGCACCATAGACGCTCCTCACCTTCCCAAAGCCTGGGGAGGGCGGCACGGTGAGCCACGCTACGCCACGCTGGGACATCCGGGCGGACAGCACGCCAGGGCTCTGCTGGAGCACGCGGCTGCCGGCGACCGGAAACGCAGGGTCGGGAAGGAACCAGAGAAACAGTTCAAATTCAGAGCAAACGCTCTAGTTGAAGATGGGGAGGGAAAAAAGAGAAACTACAGACAGCTACTAGGGACCAGGGCGTGCGGAAGCCCAGAGTGCGTGGCTCAGGCGGATCTCTTGTCCGCAGCCCGCGGATCTCTTGTCCGCAGCCCGCGGATCTCTTGTCCGCAGCCCGCGGATCTCTTGTCCGCAGCCCGCGGATC